TCACTTGCTGTTGATTGCTATTTCTCAACCTGCTGTAGCTGCTCCTAAGTTCTGACTAGTTTCTTCTCCAAAGCGAGAGATTTATTTTGATTTTGTCTATTTTGCTGTAACAAGGTACTGAATCAGGCCTACAAATTTTTGTATCTGTCCAAGTGTTGATCTCATGTGTTTTGTAGTAAAGTATGGATCAGTGCGTTAATATGTGTTTGATGTTCTCCATGTCTATGTTTGTTTGGCTTGAATCCTGATTAAATGGTTCTGTTCTAGAGTCATGAATTACGCTTAGCCTACGGTAGTACCATTATTTTAGATACTTATTTTCCTGAATCACAGTGACATGTAAGGTTAATCTCCTGGAAATGAGTTTTCTTCTAAGTACCAAATAGGTCTGAAGTTTGAATGCCAAGTAATTGCTTTCATGGGAGCTGGATTTCGAGACTAAAAGTGTAGATTTGGATTGGGCTGGAGTTAGCCTATTGTTGGTTTGGTTTTGAAGTTCAGAGAACATCAAAATGGATTTTATTTGTGATAAGCAGCTTCACTAGTGTAGATATCTCACTGACTGTTTGGAATTGTAAACATAGTGTTGATTTCATTTCTTGTTTTATTTAAATTCGATGTTTGGTTTAATTGGGGATAATTGTAACTCAGTAGGATATTATCTGTAATCATTATACTAGTTTTTGACCTAAAACCATAGACCATTGCAATTGAGATATCAATGTAGTTAAGTTTAATAAGTTGTTAAAGTAGTTGTATTCTGAAATTTATTATTTGAGAGCCTACATGATCCCTTTTATTATATATTGGGCCTGGGAATTGTTCAGGCCCATATATGAGTTTTGTGCTGTTCTGCGCTGATTTTTCCAAAGGGATGAAGAGTTTGAATTCTAGTGTAAGCCCTTTACCTTGCCATAACCTTTTGTTGATCTAACGTGAGCCTTAAAATTCCACACAACCCATAGCTCATTAATTAGTTTAGTCCATCAATGCAATGATGAGCCAACATAATTAAAATCTTATCCGAGCTTCTAGAATACATTAATCATTTTTCTATGTGGCAAATGTGGCTAGCCCTTTCCTTCCGTCTGGTTAAATCTTGTCAAATAATTGCAATGAGCCCACTTCTTATCATTTAATAAACCATCAGAATCCTTCTAGCTTAGTAGAACAATTGAACTTGCTAATGAATCCAATAGCTAATCTTACATCTCTCCCATAAAGAACTTTTTATGCTTTCCATGGCCTTGCAATAATCTCAAATTAGATTAGGAAATGAGTTACAGACATCGTAGTTTGCTTTAGGCGCGTAATTAAATCGTCGCAACTACGGGTACGATTCTCGTGGCGTATTTGTGATACGTAATTTCCAATTCGGGTGCGCATTTCATGTGACCCGACCATAACTTTAAACAATAATAAAAGTAAACATGTTGTAGCTCGCGGGTACGGTTCACGTGACACAATTCGCAATGTGTACAAAAGCGAACGAGTGCGCGACATCGCAACTTGTTAAAAAAATTCCATATATAATTAAAAGAGGTTCTAAAAAGTTAAAAATAAACAATAGGTTTTAAATATGTGTTAATCAAATAATTAGGCCAATTATTAATTATTGAGTGACCGTGCTAGAACCACAGAACTCGAGAGTGCCTCACACCTTCTCCCGGATTAACAGAATTCTTTACCCGATCTTCTGGCTTCGCAGACTTTAAAACAGAGTTAAATTTCCTCGATTTGGAATTTAAAATAAACATGTGACTTGGGACACCATAATGATTATTCCAAGTGGCGACTCTAAATTAAATAAATAATTTTATTTCGAATAATGTTAGGAAAAACTCCCTATCCCCTCGAGAAAAAGGAGATGTGGCAGGTGTACTTACCTAAGCAGCTGTACCTGGTGCAATTGTGTGATCAGTTGTTAGAGCTGGCACTTCTAATAGGTCACATGTATCAGCTAGATCTTCATAAGTATCTGATCACATACTACTTGATCTTGTGCATCTTAATCTGCTGTGCCAGGTGATTCTGCATCTGCATGCCCCTCAGATTCAGTGATATCTGCTGACTCCATGGTATGTAGTTATCCTTGTTGTTGGGATTCAAAAATAACTGCAATGGGTTCTGAAACTTGTTGATGGTGTGATGTGATAAAAGAAAACACAGATTCCCTGAACAAAACATCCCTGCTAACAAAGAAAAAGTTAGTAGTCCTGTGAAATAGTCTATACCCCTTCTGAGCAGTGGAGTAGCCATTAGGACAGATTCCTTAGCTCTTGGCCCAAACTTGTCTTCCCTAGCCACATTTGAAGCATAACATAGGCATGAAAAGGTTCTGAGATGTGCTAGTGAAGGTGGCCTGCCATACAACAATTCAAAATGGTTTTTCCCTCCTAGTACTCTAGTAGGGAGTCTGTTTATAAGATAAATAGTTGTTCGAACACATTCTCCCCAAAATTTGCTTGGTATCCCAGCCTGGAATTTCAGTGCTCTGGCAGTGTCTAAGATGTGCATGTGTTTTCTCTCACATCCCATTTTGTTGTGGTGTGTGCACACACCTACTCTGATGGATTACTCCATGACCCTGCAGGAACTCACTCCATTGATAATTAAAAAACTCTCTACCATTGTTTGTTCTAATCACTTTAATGCATGTGTTAAGCTGTGTCTTAACCATACAGAAGAACTGCTTCAAGAAAATGATGGTTTCACTTTTCAACTGTATTAGAAAAATCCATGTTGCTCTAGTGTAATCATCTACCACTGTAAGGAAGTAATGTTTATTGTCATGTGTATCAACTTATAAGGTCCCCATACATCCATGTGAACAAGTTGAAATGGTTTTGTACTTAGGTGCTCACTAACAGGAAAACCAATCTACATTGTTTAGCCAAGGGGCAAATGGAACACTTATTATGTATTGTATTGTCTACTTTATTAGGCAATAAAGAAATATGTTTCATCACTGGTAATGAAGGATGTCCTAATCTCCTGTGCCTAAGGTCTCCTAAAACTTCATTCTTCTGCAATGTGCTGATATGAGCAGCTGCTAATGTCCTGTTCCTCTTCCCCTCAACAAATAAAGTCCACCAGTTTCCTTACCAAGCCCCTTCACCCTGCCATTGTAAAGGTCCGGAAAGACACACAGTTTGGGCAGGAAAAGAGCACCATATTGTAAGTCCCTGGTTAGTTTTGAGACTGACATTAGGTTAAACTTAAAGTCAGGAACATACAACACATTTCTAGTTTGTTGTCCGCTAATAATTGTGTGCTACCAATGTGAGTAACATCAGTACTGTCTCCATTTGGCAGTCTCACTTTCTCTCTTTTACAAGTGTCCACACTTTTAACCTCATCCAGTAATCCCAGTGAGGATGCTATGTGATGTGTGGCCCCTGAATCCACTATCCAGCTATCATTATAGACATTTGATGCAAGGGACTCAATATTACCTGCCATGTCGGCTTGTGTTTGATTGTCATTGTGTGCATCCTTATTGAGCATGTGCAGAATCTGTTGATATTGCCCCTAAGTGAAGAAAAATCTCCTCCTTTCTCCTTTGATGTTCCCTAAGAATTAGAGGTTGTTGCTGGCCCTTCTACATTGTTAACTGCAGTAAAAGGTCCTTTAGGTCTATAATCTCTCCCTTGATACCCTTTCTTTTCTCTGAAATCTTCAGGATATCCAATAATTTTGAAGTAATTTTCTTTAATGTGGCCTTTCATGTGGCAGTGTTCGCACTGCAGGAATTGTTTCTTCCCTCTAAATCCTTGACCTCTTCCTGCTTGCATTGCCATAGGATCTACCTTCTCTACCATTGTATTACTACCCAAGGATTGTTGACTTTCTTCTTGTGTGATCATAGCATATGCCTGATTAAGAGTAGGCTCAGTTGTTTTCATTAAAATCTACCTTCAAGTCTGATCATATGTATCATTCAAGCCATCCAATAATTGCATCAATCTCTGTTGATGCAAGTGCACTATTTACTCCTTCGATTTCGCACATCCACGGTTTGGGGATGGTACTAACACATCATACTCTGCCCATAGCTCCTTCACTTTTGTGAAGTACACAGCTACAGACTCAGATCCCCTTGTCAATCGTGAAATTCCTCTGTGTAATTGAAAAATTCTCACTCGATTCACCTTATCAAAGCGTTCCTTGAGATCCTCCCACACAGCATGTGCATCTGATGCATAAATGATTCCACTGAATAGATCCTTCGAGACAGAGTTCATAATCCACGAATGCACTATTGCATTGCATGTCTCCCATTCCTCATGGAGATCAGCTTCAAAGGATGCCTTAATGCTTGTTCCATTGATGAACCCTAATTTGCGCTTTGCCTTAAGTGCACGCCGCATGGATCTACCCACAAGCCATAATTCTCAGAACCTGTGAGTTGGATTGGAATCAACACTAATCCTGGAGTGTCTGAGGGTTGTAAGAACAAAGGATGGGTGTAATTGATCTTCGTTTTCTCCGCCATTGTTGAACAATCTCAGATTCAACTCAATTACACACGGTTGAAGAAATTAAAGGAAAAAACAGTAACAAAATTCTACAATTTCTGCAAAAATCTCACCGATCTACTGAGAAATGAAGAACACAGTGATGACTTTCAATTTTCGAGAATATAAGAGAAGGTCTTACTAGGTTGAGCTTCGGAATCCATGAATCTATCTCCCGTGCTTTGATACCATGTTAAATCATGCGCAGAAGAAGAGAGTAGAAGATTCATCATTGGAAAATAGCTCAATTGATTAATCTGCATACACAGCCGACTATATACAACTTTATTAAGTATCTAAATTAACTCTAACATACCACAACTTCTAATATGTACACTCAGACCCCATATCTCTAACCAACTAACTTCTATATACACCAATATGACTATCTTTTTTCTCAGTTGTCGAATATGACCATAAAACAATTTCATCAGAAAATTGAGTTTAAAACGTAAACAAAAGAAAGAAACGATATTGTAAATATGCAACTCAAATCAGACTTCTCTATATGACTATTGTTCAGGGAAATGTAGTTACACTTGCTAAACAACAAAAAGGTAACTTAAAAAAAGGGGAAAAGATTGCCTTTATTGGAAGGTTTTATTTGTTGAATTTGCAAGCCCTTATGTGTGTAAACAATTGAGCAATGCTAGCCATTTATTCTATGTTACGTTACTGAGGAAAGCCCTATATATGTATGCAATTATGCAAATCGAAATATATCCCGTTAATTGTCCCAGCAGCTATGAGCAGCGCATTGCAGGAAGGCCGATAAACAATTCAGTCTCCACCTCCAAATTCTGGGTATTTTTGCTACAGTTTCCCCTTTCTTTCAGCTGAGTTGGTGGTGCTGGTGCTGGTGCTGATGGCGTTGGCATTAGGCGGCACTGTGTTGATATATGATTTTTCAAATGTGCAAATGAGAACATAAACCAAATATTAGTCTCACAAACTGTTTAAATCAATAAATATAGATCAAATAGCCTATAAGCTATGAACACATGATTAATTAGTATAATGAAGCCATAATGATATAAGCTGGCTACATTTCATAACTTTCGCGTAGTTGGAAATATTAATTACAAATAAAACTAAGGCCGAAGCACCGGTAGATATTGAGAAAATGTATAGAAATGGAAATGAGTAAAAACCACTAAGCAGTCATGATAATACTCAACGCACACAAACACTTGCATTAACCTAAAATATGCTTATACACTTGCATAACTGCACAAATGTTGATTTCAGAAAAGTAATGTGCAATAAATCCTATTATTTAGTCAAATGGGATTTGATACTATAACTTCGTTTTGCCAAAATAAAGAATAATCAAGATAGGATGCCCTCTAACACAGAGCAAATTTTGGAATATCACTTCTTCATTACCGACATGATTAGCCATAATAGCAAAGTTAACTCTTTCCAAATGGGACTGCATGAAATTGAACTACATATTTCAGACAATTCCATTACCCCTTTTTGCTAATTAGAATAGAAGAAATCCTTATAGATTCAGTTTGCATGTTCAATAAGTCAGGATTTTCACTAAAGCTAATATTCAACTATAAAGAAGTAAACAAATGAAGAAGCTAAGAAGATTCAAGGTATGGTATATACTGTTATATACAAAATTAACCTATGTACAGGCTTTGTTGACGAATCGACTCCCCTAGGACATAAGTGGCACCGCCACTATGTCCAATGACTATGCATTTTAATTTCTTCAACTAATAGTTTAGGGGAAAAACGAATTGTGGAATATGCAAGGGATTACTATATCAAATGGTATTAATTAAACTTAAAATAAAACTTAACGGGATCCTATATATATATATCACATGGTATGTCAATTAAATTGTAGTAGTAGCAAATATAAGAGAGTTCACCTTTTCACGTAAATTTTTATTTTCTTCGAGCAATAGACTCTCCTGAACAAGACAAAAAATATATACAGAAAGTTCAGAAAACAATTAATTTACCAAAGAAGTAAAACCTTAAAATGCATCATCGTACCCTGGCTTTTAGGCTTTCTACTTCGTCGTTGAATAATTGAGCCTAGAAAATGACCAAAGAAGGAACAGGTTAATATATGATTATTGCGAAAACACCTAAATATTGGATAAAATGGTCTGATATTGCAAACAAGAAATAAGGAAGAAAAGGGAATCAAAGTGCATATTGCAGAATAAGATTAATTGATAGTACCTTTCTGGCCCTAATGTTTTCCAGGCTCCTCTCGAGCTTGCTGTCAATCTCTTGTAGTTCATCCATTGAACATGGCCCTAAACCTTGGCCCATCAGCTTCCTAATTAAGGCATTTAATATAAGTTCAACATTAATTTAAGTAAATACTCCAACTAGTTTGAAGAATAAGCGGAGAGAATATATAACCGTTTGGAAACTTCAAGGATTTCTATCTTCTTTGCCATGTTAGCTGTCTCATGCTTCAGGTGCTGCATATGAAATCAATATCTGATGAAAGAAGCCATACTTAAAAAAATAAAAATAAAAAGATGAAAGAAGCCATATTGTTGCATTAATTATATGCAAAAAGTGGATTATTAATTTGACGGAGTCACTTCGATTTGCGTGCGCAGTCCAGGCGCGTAGCCGGAAAGCTTAAACATGAAAATCTGTGAAAAATGATAAAATTTGGCTAATAAATGAATTAATTTGACTTCGGTCAACGTTTTGGGTAAACGGACCCGGACTCGTGATTTGACGGTCCCGAAGGGTCCGTAGGAAAATACAGGACTTGGCGTATGCCCGAAATCGAATTTCGAGATCCCAAGCCCGAGAAATGAATTTTTAAAGGAAATTGTTTTCTGAAATTGTTTAAGGAAATTTGAAATGAAATTTGTTTAGAACATGGTGGTATCGGGCCCGTATTTTGGTTCGGGCGCCCGGTACAGGTCTTATATATGATTTAAGTTATTTCTGTGAAATTTGGTGAAAAACGGATGTCGTTTGACGTGATTCGGACCTAAATTGCTAAGGTTGATGTTTTATGATGTTTGAGAAAAATTCTTTTGATTTTGAGGTTTAATTCATGGTTATTGAGGTTATTTTAGCGATTTGATCGCACGGATAAGTTCGTATGATGTTGTTGAGTTAGTACGTATGTTTGGTTAGGAGCCCCGAGGGCTCGGGGGTGTTTCGGATGTATTTCGGGAAGTTTTGGACTTAAGAAAAATTGCAGAAACAGCTGATCTGGTGTACTGATACTTTCTCCTTTGCGTTCGCGGGAGAACCCACGCGAACTCGACGCATTAAAGTTTGTCGAAGGAAAATCCTTCTACGCGAACGCGTAGCTCAGGTCGCGAACGCGAGGCAGTGGAGGGCTATACCTTCACGAACGCGGTCTTGGCCACGCGAAAGCGAAGGCCAAGTGGGCCTGGGCAGGGGTTGGGGCAATTACCCTACGCGAACGCGACCCAATGGACGCGAACGAGAGGGCTCGAGGGGATCCTTCTCCGCGAACGCGAGCCCTTTTACGCGAACGCGAAGGCTTATCCAGCCTGACCCATCGCGAACGCGAAGGGTCTGTCGCGAACGCGAAGGACATTTTTGCCCAGTTATTTTAAAAGACCCAAAACAGAACATTTACGGGATTTTTATAAAATTTCACAAACCTCTTCTTCTCCAAAGCTCTTAGGCGATTTTTGAAGCATTTCCTCACCATACTATCTTGGGTAAGTAATCTTTAACTTGTTTTCTTCCATTTTTATCAACACCCACTAGATTTCTAGGCCTAAAACATGTGATTAAGGCTAGAAAATTAGGGATTTGGGTAGAGTTAGGGCTTTTTGATTAATTGTGATTTAGACCTCGTTTTGGGGTCGAATTCTGAAAATAATTATATATTTGGGCTCGTGGGTTAATGGGGATTGGATTTTGGTTCGAACCTCGTATTTTGACCAAGCGGGCCCGGGGTCAATTTTTGGGTTTTTGGGAAGAATGATTAAAACGCTATAATTGAGCATTGGAATTGAATTGTTTAGCGTTTATTGATGTTATGAAGTCGATTATGTATAGATACGATCGATTTGGAGCCGAATTCGAAAGGAAAGGCGGTGTTTGAGGCTTGAGTTGGCCGTGAAAGTTTGAGGTAAGTGTCCGGTCTAACCTTAGCTTGAGGGATTAGGAGTTGTGTCCTATTTGCTAATTGCTTCTTGTTGAGTACGACGTATAGGCATGGTGACGAGTATCTATACGTTGGTGTCAAGCATGACCGTGAGTCTTGAATTGATAGTTATTGTGTTCTTGAATGATTCTACGGGTGTTAAAAATTGATGGTATTCGATATTAAGCAAAGATTTAGTTTATTTTCATGGATTTTATTTATGATTGAGGATTGGTACTAATTGAGCTGAGTAGGAATTGAGTTAGGATTGGTTATAGCTGATTCTCCCTTGTCGGGATGTTTGTCTTAAATATTGTTGTTCCCTTGCCGGGATGTTATTATATTGCTTTGTTCCCTTGCCGGGATTCCTTGTAATTTTGTGTTGGCTTGTAAATGGGATCGGGTGGTACGCCTACCACGAGATATGATGAAATGGGATCGGGTGGTACGCCTACCACGAGATATGTTACGCGGCGGCTTCCTGAGATTCCTTGGAAGGGCGACGTAAGGCTAGGCAACTGATGTCAGTGCAGTTGTTGTCCGCCAACTGAGGTCCCCTCCGTACGCTAGACGAGATTGTTAGTGCCGTACGGGAAAACCAATATCAAGAGCAATTGAGAGAACAGAAATGAGAATTCAGAATGAAAAAGCTTGATTGCATTAATGAAAGCTATTACAGAAAAGCAACGCGGTGTCGAGGGGGAGAGACACCAGTACAGAGAATTGCTTGCTTGCTAGAAAGTTTTGATTGCTTGATCCCCCCTAATAGTACTTAAAAAAAATAATCCAAAGTTACAGGACTAGACTTGATTAAGCTAGAGAAACATAATGGAAGTACATGAAATAAAACTACTCTATATTTACAATGAAAATGACTTAGTTTCCTATAAGGCAGCAGCAGGTCCGTTGTCAGCAGCAGTGTCTTTGGCATCACGGTCTGCGCGCGCGGCGCTGTTGGCTTCTGCCTGCGGCTTGGCGCTCGCGAGGGATATCGGTGGGGCGACAGAGGCACCTGCGCGCTTGTCACTTGGCGCGGCCAAGACCACGGGGCCGTCCGTGGCGCTAGGCATTGGGAGGTTCGCTAGGACGCCACGGGGCGCGCCCAAGGGGTCATGGGGCATGGCTGGAAAGCCGCCCATGACATTCTCCCCCACCTGAGTTGGCGACGTCCTCGGCGCCTTACTTGCAAAATAATCTTCAATGAGGCTCTTGTAGGCTTTGAGGTTTGTTCCCCTCTCCCAAGTATTCTCTTCTGCATCACAGCCCTGCCATTTCACCAAAAACTCTTGGTGATCTTTCCTTGAGGCATGAATCACTCTGTCATCAAGGATAGCTTCAACACGCCTTTTCCCGGTTGAATTGGGACCTCGAATACTGGGTATTGTGAGCTGGCTCCTTGAAGGATCCTCCGTGTCTTCCCGAAAAGGTTTCAGGAGACTGACATGGAAGACAGGATGAATTTTCCACCAAGCTGGGGTATCCACCCGGTATGCAACCTTCCCAATACGCTTTTCAATGGACAAGGGTCCAATGTATTTTTGCAATAGGCGAGGGTCATGGACCCCTGCAAATAAGTACCGCTTTGGAATTTTGACCATCACTTTGTCTCCTACTTGATATTCAACAAAGCGACGATTCTGATCAGCATGCCTCTTCATCCGCTTTTGGGCTTTGACAAGGTAGCTCCGCACTATCTCCAAATTCCGCCTCCACTCTTTTGAGAAGCTGGCAGCTCGAGGAGATTTAGCCATGTTTGGTGCATTCACAGTGTGTGGGAGTAGCGGTTGCTGTCCGGTAACAATTTCAAAAGCGCTTTTGTTGGTACTAGAGCTCTTTTGTGAATTGAAACACAGTTGAGCAGCATCCAGAAGCTTCACCCAATTCTTCTGCGATCCGGTTACAAAGTGGCGGAGATATTCCTCCAACATACCATTGAACCGCTCCGTCTGGCCATCAGATTGCGGATGAAAACTTGAGCTGTGACTCAATTTTGACCCAAGGCACTTGAAGAGTTGGGTCCAAAAGTTGCTAGTGAAGCGTGAGTCGCGGTCACTAACAATGTCTTTGGGCAGGCCCCAATATTTGACGACATGAGAGAAGAAGAGTCGAGCTGTATCTTCTGCTGATATATATTGTGGGGCTGCAATAAAGGTGGCATACTTGGAAAACCGGTCCACCACAACCAAGATGGTTGTGAGATCTCCGACCTTGGGCAATCCGGTGATGAAATCCAGGGAAACGCTTTCCCAAGGTCTCTTTGGGACAGCGAGTGGTTCCAAGAGTCCCGCTTGTGTCAAGCGGTCCGACTTGTCCTTCTGGCATACTAGACAAGTCTTCACATACTGAGCGACATCATCGGCCATTTGAGGCCAATAATAGGCACGACGAAGTAACGCCATGGTGCGTTCTTCACCGGGATGGCCGGCCCACAGAGTATCATGACATTCCGCTAGAAGAGTCCTCCGCAAATCTCCTCCTTTAGGAACATAAAGTCGGTTCCCTTTTACTTTCAGAAAACCATCTTCCATGTAGAACTGGCGAGTCTTGCCCTGTCCTACCAAATCAACCAAATACTGAGCAGCAGGATCCTTGATGAGTAGATCCCGTATTTGGTCCTTGATGGATGTGGCTACTTCGCTCCCCCTTAGGGTGGCGAGTAGGCACACCGATGCTAGATCAGCTCTCCGACTGAGCGCATCAGCAACATGATTGGTCTTTCCACTGCGATACTCCAAGTTGAAGTGGAATTCAGCTAGGAGTTCCTGCCACCTGGCCTGTCGACCGTTCAGCTTCGGCTGGGTCATGAAATGGCTAACAGCTGTGTTGTCTGTCTTGACCACGAACGGGGTTCCCAGCAGATAGTGCCTCCAGAGGCGCAAGCAGTGGACGACAGCCAATAATTCTTTCTCATGGGCGGCATAGCGCCGCTCTGCATCCTTCAGCTTCCGACTCTCGTACGCTACAGGGTGCCCTTCTTGTAGCAGGACTCCGCCGAGTGCATAGTCAGAAGCATCTGTTTGTACCTCGAACGGCTTGGCCAAATCAGGAAGGGCCAAGACGGGACTACTAGACATAGCCGCTTTTAATGCGTTGAAGGCCTCTGCTCTCCTTGGTCCCCAATCCCAAGGTGTGACCTTTTTGAGGAGTTCTGTCAATGGCACTGCGATAAGTGAGTAGTTCTTCACAAACCGCCGGTAGAAGTTGCATAGGCCAAGGAACGCCCTCAAGGCGTGGACATCCTTAGGTGTCGGCCAATCTGTGATGGCCTGGATTTTCTGTTGGTCCATCTTGATGCGTCCTTCCTCGATGACATGTCCGAGGAAATCAATTTGCTTCTGAGCAAAGGAGCACTTGGACAGCTTTA